TGCTATCGGTATGTTTTGTTTCAGTTTATTTAAAAATTTATATTTGAGAGTCGGAGAAAAACTCGAAATTGCATTGATTTTGCCTTGGCTCTGTGATTGGTTCCTTTTTAATTCTGTGATTACTTGGCCGGTTTTGGTTTTAGCACACTTAGTCGAAAAGCACTCTATTCTACTGTTGAACTGAATTGATGATGGCCTGGGTCTGAACTCATTCCCTCTCAATTTTTTCCAAGATCTACTTCATCATTGTGGTGTATTCGTACATCGAAGCACTTCGTGAAGATCCTTCTGGAACAAGTGCAGGATTTTCTCCCCCTCTGACAGGCGGTAACCAAACCCCGAAGGTAATTTCCGTTGCTGTAATGCTACATGACATTCGCAGTCAAATTCGCTATGAATATTTTTTGTGTTACTGAGCAAAAGTACGCTACGATAGCAGATGGACTAGCATTCCTTTTAAGGGCAAAGGTGGTCGCTCTTCGACTGCCAAAGCTATTAATATTGGTAATGGGGGCGAGAGGAGTCCAATTCAGTCTATAATCCTACGAGTGATTGAGAAAATCGGACGACCGCGAAGCTATCAATCTCGTGATTTGTCAATCACGAGTATGATTACAGACAGAATTCGACATCACAAAGTCCTGTTACCAATAAATCATAACCATTACAATTTCGAGAAAAAAAACCCCAATACATCTAGGACAAACATCTCCGCTAGAGACAATGTCTATAATAAAAAATTCCTTCATTTGGGAAATAGCCTAGTTTTTTTCCAGGATGAGTGGTTGTTGCTATTGTTATTATGATCAATTGTGTGATTGGTGGATTTAGCTGAGTAGACTTAGTAGTATAAATGGAAAATTACAGCCGACTGTCCGATTACACTGTTCAATTACAACTGTACAGAATGATTGGTCAAAAATAACTCAGCTAAAACACCAATCTCTTCCCTAAAGGTATTAATTAAGAAATGGCGCTGAAAATTTATCTTAGCTTAGGTCTACCAACAGCATTTCCATCTCAGCGTATCCAGACTGATAGTTCGACTTGAGAATTCTTTTATCCGAACGATTGCCTTTCCTGCGAAGTAATTTTTAGCCTTGGAGTGGCTAAGTTCAAACCGCTAATTTCTACTCTGTCTCTCAGTTTACCTTAGGCTGCGCTTTCTGAATGGTCAACTGGTTTGCCTGCGAACGATTAATATTTTTTTTCAATAATTAACGATCCATTTCAAGAGATTCTAAACTATGTTCTCTCGTCCACTTATACTACTTGGGAATAAATAACCACAACCTTTACAATTTCCTCAAATGTGATTGGTGTATTAGCTGACTTATTTTTGACCAATCATTCTGTACAGTTGTAATCGAACAGTGTATGTATAGAAAAATATTATGAGAGGGAAAAAGGGACGCAACTACATTTCCCGACAAGCCTGTTTCGAGTCGCTTCACTCTTCAGGGGTTTTCAAAGTGAAGCGATTCACGAAACAGGCTTGTCGGGAAATGTAGTTGCGTCCCCTTTTTCCCTCTCATAATATTTATTCTGCTCTGCTTAAACGTATTGAGCACTGTTCCACGCGAAAATCGACTTGCAGACTTCCTATATATATATATATATATATATATATATATATATATATATATATATATCAAATTAATTTTTTCTTTGTATACTAGAATAAGATTAAGCGAGCCTAGTTGCAATGATTTATTGAAGAAGTTTTTTTCTCTTTCATTTTTTTTATTTTATTTTTTATTTCTTATTATTTCACAGGCTGGAATGTAACTCCCTCCATACACAGTATTCCATAAGGGCACTGTGTAAACTCAACAGAACATTGTGACTGTCCCAAAAGATTATTGATCAACGTTTTAATATAAAATTGTTAGAAAGGCTAACTAACTTTAATTGAGTATAACTGTAGAGAATATCTTTCTCTGATTGATAGCAAGTGGGATTAAGGGAGCAGTCATTATTTTACGTGTGGGGGGGGGGGGGGGGTGGGTGATTCTAATAACACCCCCCTTCCCCCCCCACGCTGCAGTCAATTTTCTACATTCCCCCCAACCCCCCCCCCCCCCCCCGCAATTGTTGGCGACGAATAATCCCCAATCCGTCCGAGGAGTTCACACTAAAATGTAATTTGAAACGAATTTCTAACCAACACATATATATAACGTCATATGAATTTTAAGGTGATTGTGGGATGATTCAGCCTTTGAAGAGAAGTAATATGGAACAGTTATTTAGGATTTTCATCGCTGTTATAAGATGAATGAAGTTAAAGGGTTAAAATATTCAAAGTAATTCGAAAAACTAGCTTCTTCGAAGCTTAAAAGGATAACGCAGATGTATGTTGTAAAAGTAAAATGGCGAAGACGTTTTGCGTTATGGTACAAGGGTTAACTTTTTTTAAGAGCCCTACAACTAACTGCTTTTTGGTAAACTTGTTACCTATTACATATTCCTGAAAATAAAAAAAGAAAAAAAGAAAAAGGCACGGAAAAAAACTGCTGTTGATATTACCATTTATTTTTTTCTCGGAGGGCCCGGTAGCGATTGCTACAATCTGATTGGTTCTTAGCGCGGTCCGTATTTTCCAATCCACGGGCAACGGTAAGGCTTTCGTGAGTTGCCGAGTACATCCCTAACTTCGCTGCCATTTTTCATAAATATATCACATTTTTCCAGCTGGGCAGTATTTTTAAGCAATGAAGTCGGTCAGAAGCGCAAGCTGATAATTAACTAATTAATCCTCCCTTTTCTCTCTCTTAAATCACTTTGGTTGACAGAAAAATATTGGTTTCGAAATGAATTTGTATAAACAAAAGTGTCATAAAACTGGTTAACAAGCGGTCTGGAAAGTTAAAACGCGAGGTATTTGGTTACAACTGAATTTATCAATGGAACTTTCATTCATTTAATCTCAGTCTGAAGTCTCTTACACGATTTGTTCGTGGTAAAAGAGGGCGAAGTTTTAAGTTCTTTTACAAAGATGCTTTCGGTGAGTCTTTCCAATTCCGTTCAATTTAGACATTTGTACCGTAAATTGCTCAACAGAAACCGAAGGAATTCAATGAGAAAAAGCCGCATTAAATCCCCTTGTGTCTAATTGAAGTACTTCATTTGAATTTGGTTCTTGTGAAAGAAAGACGAGATTTACACACGCCATTGCAATAAACAAACGTGTAAACTCTCACAACTTCAAAATGAAAAATTTGAATTACTGACAATTTCTTTCCTTGCCACTAACTTACTGAGGTTTTAAACAATCTGTCACAATCTGATTCCTGTCAATTAGAGAGCGGCAAAGGAGGAAAAAAAAAAAAAAAAAACGGAACCAGTTTCGAAAGGACTGTCGCGACCATATTTTTGTCAAAAACAGTCAATGATCTCACGGAAAGTATTACTCACTCTTATCGACGATTAAATAACGAATAATGTACGAAGATTTACCTCGTTTCAGTTAGTAAATGGCAAGGAAAGTAATTGTAAGTAAATTCAAATTTTTCATTTTGAAGTTGTGAGAGTTTGCTCGTTTGTTTAGATTGTTCCAAAGTTTGTTGGAATATATATATTATGGGGAAAAAAGGACGCAACTACATTTTCCCGACAAACCTGTTTCGTGATTCGCTTCACTCTTCAGGGGTTTAATCCGTTTTTTTTTTCCTCTTAAAACATTTATTCTGCTCTGCTTCAACGTATTGAGCACTGTTCCACGCGAAAATCGACTTGCAGACTCCCTATATGTATATGTATATATATTTATTATAAATATATTTATTACAGGTAGATCTCGGAATTCAAACCGGAAAAAGATTACACTTTACACACTACACCCTCCAAATTCAAGATCTTTTCATTCTTCATGGATGTAAGCCTCGAGGAAAGTCGCACCATTAGTATACAAGGAAATTGAACGAGGAATTTTTTTAACGGATCTCAAAAGTGAAAGGTTAGGGAAGATTTAAAAGCATCCGGCAGCTACGCTTGAATCAATGCAGTTGATTTTGGCGTTCAGAAGAGTAATTTCGACTGATCATCTTCGATGGCAGTTTTGGTGAAAACTTGTTGCTGTGGCTGCAGCCTTCGTAGCCGCGTTGTGATTCTCGGAATAATTGGCTTGGTAAGTTCCAGCTGTTATCAATCGTCTAACCATCTGAAATATCCTTCGGCTTTTCATACCCTAGTAATAGCCTGAGTAATAGTAGTACTTAATTGAACGATTTTCGCTATTTCGTAAAAACCGAGAACTTTAGTTCCGCGAAGAGAGATACTTAGAGCAAAGATTAACCACGTGGAATTTGTTAAGTCGCGTTGATCATGAAAAACTACACGAATTTAAGTGCACGATTTCCAAAACGTTTTTCCGGTCAAAAACGGCTTTTACCATTAAAATGCCGTAGGAAAAAAAAACTATTTACGTTAACGCTGAGACATATGCGCATTCTGAAATTTCAGGACGAGCAACTGCAAACTTCATAACTGTTATTCGGTCAAAAACGAGCATTAAAGCACAAATTGTCTTACGGTAAAATTAGATATTGCAACCGAAACTTATATTTTGAAGTAAAGAGATAATTTTCGCCGGTCACCTGCTGATAAAGAAATCGCAGACTGAACATAGAAGCCTGAAAAACTGCGCGTAGTATTGAAGGGAGACTCGATCCGTGCATGATATTTGCAACTAACGAAACGGAACTCTTTGCACTTCGAGCTCACTCTTCGAGAATTCGAGATGCTCCTCTATTACGAAAGGATTTTCAACAGCACTTTTACTAATTTTTAATTATTTTCAAAAATTTCAAGAAGAGAAGCCGGAAAAAAATGACATCACACACGATTCGAAACAGCACTTTCAGTTTCCAGGTTAGGAGCGTAACCAATGAATTACTCGTTATGAAAAAGGAATTGGCCAATAGTTGGTAAACAGCACGTCCTATCGTGACATAGATGATATTTATTCGATGGATGATTTTTAGGGGCATATTTCGAATGAAAATTACTAACGGGAAATACTAACGGGTTTTCGGATTTGATATCCGATGCGGTTTTCGGTTTTTCCAATTAGACCTATTTGGGTTCCGGTTTCTCTTCGATCTGAGCGGCAATTACGCGCCTCCACTGATCTCGAATCGCCGCTAAACGCAAATGTTATCTAGAGGTCTAGAGGAATGCGTGACAAACCAACTGAAATATCGCAGGGATCCCTAGGTAGCCTACGTGTAGCCGTACCTTCCCCCTCCCCTTAGGTGGGGGGGGGGGGAGGAGAGGGTACGGCTAAGCACAAATCATTGCCAGAGTTTCTTTATCAACGCCACCTATAAGTTCGTGACCAAGTTACAGGCCGCACGCGACTGATTTATTCAACATTCCGATAGAATCTCAAACTTTCAGGTCTTAGTTCGCAAATGGAAATATTAGATTAGGAAATTTCTGATGAAACTTTCCAGAACTATAGCTTTTTGCCGCTGCAAAATTGCAATGCTATCGAGGACTTTTGTGCGAATTTCCTTAATTTAACTAGGCTCCATTACCAGCTGCTGAGTCCGCAGAAACTACGCTCGAGGTCCTCGAGAGCGCAGCTGTTAATTTAAGCAGATAGTAGAAAAATACGAATGTCAAGTCCATGGTATTCATAAATCCTGTCATGAAATTAGCTAGTGTAGTTTATTCTGTATGCTCCACTTGTCACCACTGTATCGGATCGCTCAGGGTTTTAATAACTGGGATGTGAGAAGTATCGATCTTGAGAGTTTTGCACGCGGTTTTCGGTTTTGATCGAATTTTTTTTCGGTTTTTTCGGTTTTTCTCTACGGTTTTGCGGTTTCTAATGGGTCCCAATTGCCCCCCCCCCCCTCTTTTATTACCAGTATATCCCTCAATCGCTTTAGAAAAGTCTCTGTGACTGAAGGAAATAATTAAATATATCATTCTATCTTACTATTTTCTGTTTCCTTGTGCCTGAGGAGCTTAGGGACCACAAATAACACGAACAATAATCTGGAACATTTTCCGCGATACACACTGGGGTTAGATGTTAAGGCTTCGAATTTATCGGTGCACAATATTTGCAGTCCAAGTGTGTTTTAATGTTTGAAACATAACTTTGCCTCTCCCTTCCTCATCACAAGTGACTGAACGTAGTATGAAATTCAAACCTTCTTCACAAGATCTGCTGATTAATTCCAAAGAAAGCAGTTTATATTTGCTGAAATATATCAAATCTGATCTGTTGTTGTATTTCTGTTTGTATTTCAGCTTGGATCAGCATATTCAATTTATCAACAAAGCAATTCTTTCAAAGTTTACAAGTATTTAGAGGAAAACGCCGACGAATTCGAACTCAGCCAAAATTTGCCTTTCAGCAAAAGGTGTTTCGTGGGTATTACCGTTTACTTTTGTCTTGTTCCATAAAATCTGTTAGAAAGAACACGTGATTAGGACGAAAATATTTTCATTTGTGAGATTAATCGTTGAATTGTGTAGGTTTTTTATTGCCTTAAACATAAATTTTACATTGGTTCGTGATCTTGTATGAAAATGAAAGTTCAAATAGTATTCTTATAAAATGTCCAAACCTTTTCCCGTTAAACGTGCCGTTCCAGTTAAGTTTCTCGCTCATTTTCTGATTATCTATTGACTGATTAATTGATTGATTACTTTTTTTTATGATCACACCTGAATGAAGCGATTGCAGCTTGGGTTATGTTTACCACGCATTCAAAGTCATCTCACTATTAATGAACCTGTTGCTTCTGGGATCCAGCTCAGTAAGTCCAACACACTACTTCTATGAACGTAATTTTAGCCTGTAACTAAAAATAAGTTGAGAAGATAAAAGATTATGATAAAATTTGTTTCAGAGGTTGATAATAATTCTTCTTTTAGAAATTTAAAACTTGTCGGTTGATCAATAGTCTCTATTTTGTGCCAAAACGTGTACGGATATTTGCATTGTCCGCGGACATTATCCCTTCCGCGCTAAATGGGGGCTGCTGTGTTTATTATCCTTCAAAATATTTTTGCAACTTGCAACCCTCGGGAAAATTTGTACGAACAGCTTACTGTTTGCTGCGTGGGATGCTTACTTTTCAGCGCTCTTTGGTACGACTTTATGAACAAACAAACTTCTCGTCTTGTATTTTAGATAAACGCTTTCATAGTCCTAGATGTATGGTCTGAAAAATGAGGAGTATCACGATCATGTGATGCGTTTAGACCAATCGCGCGCCAGAAAAGCTTGGATAGTAGTGTATTGGAATGACTATTTCACATTGACTCAACACTTTAAACACAAAATGAAGAAATATTTATATGACTGCAGAACACAAATCGTCAAATTACTTTTGTACGCGCCATGGCAAACCAAGCAGTCGCAGCTTGGAGCGCTGACTTTTCAGTTATTCAATTGTTAGTTTACGTCACTGATCATCGTTCTTTCCCGTTATAGGGTGAAAAGCGTTTGGCATATCCTTGGCTTGGGTGGAGCATCTTCGAGCTCTTTTTCAATTTTGGAGCGACGATATCTTACATTGCCATCTGGAACGGGGTAAATTGAAACAACCTTTTCTTTTTTTTTTTTTATCAAATACTAGTAGAGAGGTTTTCAACGAACTTAACATGATTTCTGTTTCCTTCGATGTTATAGTTTCCCGCCTTTTCAATTATTTACATCACTGGATGGTTGCTGTCGGTATGTTCTGTTTAATTCATACAGCAATTTCTATTTGAGAGTAGAGAAACTCACGCCACTAACAAATCAGACGCAAAATTAAAACCAATCACAACTTGGTCGCCAGCGTTTTCCCGCGCTTAAGTCACTCTAGCTGTTTTTATTTTGAATTCTCGCTTTCTCTCCAAGGTGTTCTTTCTTTTTCTGATTGGCTGTCGAGATTACTTAATTTTGGTCTCATCACACTCAGTCGAAAAGCGCTGTATTAACCAGTTACTCTTAAATTGATGGTGGCCCGGGGCTGAACTCGTTGCCTCCCTTTTTTCCCCCCAAGATTTACTTCATCGTCGTGGTGTATTCGTACATCGAAGCCCTTCGCGAAGATCCTTCGGGAACGAGTGCAGGATTTTCTCCCCCTTTGACAAGTGTTAGCCAAACCCAGATGGTAATTACATTTCCATTGTTTTAATGCTACATGACCTTTGAAGTCAAATTCACTGTGAATAGTGTAATATTCCTCCCTAGGAATTGTTATTCATGAGATGGTAATAAGGTATGGAGAATCGCTCTGGCCGGGAAAGCCCAAGCCAGGCGAAGGGGTGATGGTGAGACGGATCAATCCGACCGGTGGTGGGTGGGTGGGAAAACGCTTCGATGCGCAGAACACAGCCCAAGGCCTCAAGTGAAGTGACAAGGAGTGATACAAAACAATCTACTATATCCAAAATCCCTAGGGACTAATTACCAATGCTAATTGAGTTAGCATAGTGTAATATTCCTCCCTAGGAATTGTTATTCATGAGATGGTAATAAGGTATGGAGAATCGCTCTGGCCTTCTCTAGCCTACACCCACACTCATATGAAATGAACAATCACACACCCTAAGAAAAGAAACACAAAGAACTCTTTAATCCTCTTTCCAATCCTTACTTAATACATACTATATCTAATCATTAACAATAACCTATACTATAATAGTTCAAAACTTCAATAAAATAAATTCATGAAAAAGCTTGGGAGAATCCCACAAGATGATCCTGATGTTTGTAGTCCTGCCCCGCTTGTAAAGGGAGATCCGCTAGTTTAGCCGCCGCGCCTGCTGGATTCACTACTTGCTTAAGCTTGATATAGTGAAGCGCCGTCTTACTAGATTTCCAGCCAATGTGGTCCATGATTTCACTGAGACTTACGCTTCGCAATGCTAAAGATACAGCCGCCCCACTGCGAAACCCATGAACTGTTAAATGACTACTAGATAACTTCCCAACTAGCGCGGAAACATAAATACTCAATCGCGCTTGAGCCGCCGAAGACTCCAAATGGCTGAAACAAACTCCGCCAGATTTTGAAATAGAGCGAAAAAGGAAACCTGGCGCAAGGTTAATACGTAACAGCTTACACACATCAAAATACATTTCCAAACCCCGGACAGGACAAATCAAAGGATTAGATCCCCGCTTAAAGGCAAACACATTTGCGTCACCTGACCTGAGAGACTTTGTCCAAACATGATTGAACAACAAACCAGAATTATCCGAGAAACGTAAAACATCAGATACTTTTACTTGTAACAAATCAGCTGCTCTATCACCAGCAAAAAATAATGCCTTAAATAAAGCCTGATCGCGGGCATACATAAAAATCTGAATTGCGCGCAAAGTCGAAGAATGCAACAAAAGGGCTCTAATGTATTCAGAGATAACCAACAAATCGTTCACTAAGATAGGCTCTGCCTGGCGTGGAGTTACCCTAGCCTTTAGTTGTTTTTCCCGCACATTACTCAAATAAGTCTTAACTGACCTACAAGAAGCTGGATTACCTACACCTAACAAAGACTGCCATTCTGCGCCTCGACCACTCTCTGCAAATATAGCACGCAACTTGCCAATCAGTGAATCTATAGTCCCAAATGCCAAACGTTTAGGGCACTCACAATCTAGCCCCGCATTACCTCCCCAGGTGTGACAATCCTGTCTATGAACTCGTGTCCTTCCCTTTCCATCCTTCCACACAAGGAACGCAATAACATCCGAAGGAAGCGCTGACGACAAAGACTTGGGGACTGACAAGTTTCCCAGAAAATTTATAAGCTCCAATTCCAGAGCTGATTTCTGTTTAGAATAACGAGACGAACTACGTTGCTCATTCAACTCGCGTACTCGTTGGGCAATGCTGCCTTCATCAATATCCAATTTCTTTAGTGGTCCTTGGATTGTAGCACGTCTAACATAACCACATTTCTGACAGAAATTGAAATCCTCATCGTTCGGATGTGAGCATCGTGGGCACGCAACGCAGGGAGTGAATAACTTCGGAACTTCGGAACTCTAGGCAATGTCTGTAGGGAACAAAAACGAAACAAACAATGAGCCCGACTCTACACCTAGAACCGAGACACGCGAAACGCCCACATAGAAAAGGGACAAGGTGTTGGACTATAACCCGACTTTGATGGGGATAGCAGAACACTCAAGTCACCCTGTGTACCAAGACAAATTTTCCCAGAACACCTTGCGTTCAATTCAACCCACCAATAGCGATGAGGAACAAACTCTGGAACCACAATAGTGAACGGGATCTTAAAATTCAAGAGAAACTTCAACAGTGGACCAATCAAAGAAAATGGCGGGAAGACATAAGGATTGGACATAAACGGAAAAACCCGCAAGTCTTGTCTGAAGACATTCACACCGTTGGAGTCTGGGCTTGGAAAAGGAGTAAAATGCGGCAAGGAAAACCCATCTTTGTTCTTCATTACATTTGAGTCCAAAGACATCAAGTCAAACGAATGACCTTCAACTCCACCAAACTCTTTATCGACCCTCTCAAAAGCTGACATTGACAATTTGGAATCCACACGTGACATTGTCCTAGACGGAAAATCGGCCACATTTTCCTTAGACGGTACATAGGATAAGTTCAACTGAACATTACGAGAAGATAGAGCAAAATAAAGTCGTTTTGTAGCTGACGTTAACTGGGGGGATCTCCTACTGCCAGACCCCTGCCACGCACCTAATACTGCCATACTGTCAATAGAAGCATCAATTCGGCAATCCTTAATTCCGTCAGGAAGAGCTTTAATAGCATACAACAAAGCTAACATTTCCTTTGTAGAAATATCGAGACACAGTTCCTCTTGACTCCAATAATCTCGAAAAATCTGATCATCCGAAGGTGAATGAACCGCACAACCCCACCCATAACCGGACGCATCGGTAGAAATCGCAATACGCACATGCTTCTCGTCTCTCCACGGAAGAGTGTCCTTCCAGTCGTCAAGGTAACGCCAATGCGAAATTTCCTCCCTCAAAGCGTCGGTCATAGACACTTGCCCATCATCCAAGCCAGAAGCGATCGCTCTACTCATTTCTCTAATGAACAATTTCGCGGCTGGAACAGCCAAAGAGAAAGATATGCATTTCCCCTGAAATCGTTGTAAAGTTTTGATCCAAACAGTTTTCTTGCAGGCAAGAATTTTCTCCCTAATTAAGGCCCAGGACTCAATCTTACGGCGCGGCACCAAAAACGATTGTCGAACGGAATCCACGATCAGACCCAAATACCCCAGGGATGTGACCGGCACAAGAACCGACTTCTTGATACCAATGGTATAACCGAGATCAACCAACACAGAAAGGACAACGAATATGGCACCTGTAGCTGTCAGCAACCTGAACTGCAAAGATCTGTCCGCTGGTAATATGGACCAAGACCCAGTCGGTCGCAAAAGCTCTCCATTTAAGCGATCGTCTATATAGAGAGAACAAGGAATCCCTTGAGCTCTCAAGAAACCTGTGGCGGCCAGACCAATGGTATGATAAACATAAGGGGAGATTTTCCATCCGAACGGAAGAGTCGTACAAACAAACCACAGGCCACCAAAACTAAACCCAAAGTATGATTGCGAGGACTCTGTCAACATCACGTGATCATACCCGGACTTGTCGTCGCACTTGGTCATGAACGATCCGGGATAAACATACCTAGTCACTTCACTCAGTTTATCCAGGGAAAACGGCATATCTTTCATCCAAAGGTTTAGAAACCTCGCGTCAATACAAAGTCGAGGCTTCGTAGGTTCAACCGTGAGTGGCAACACAAGATGGGGGGGATCATCGACACCCACTACCCCCCAGACTCTAACCGCGCCGGTTAAAACACGATTCCGAATCTCCTTGGATATAAATTCCGTAAAATTTTTACAGTTTACATGATTCGGGAAAATCTTCTTAGGTGGAACAGCAGACGAATATTTAGCTCTCTTAAAAACTCCCGCAAAAGGTCTTGAAAAACTTAAGATGTCGACTTTATTTCTAATCCAATCTAGAATACAGTTCCTCAACGGATGACCCTCAAGTACCAGCTCCCATGCGGCTGAATTACGGTGAAGACCACCTGCCACAAAGGAATCCGGATCCCTTAAATGTAAAGTCCCCAGATCCGGAACCTTACCAGATGAGATAACACTTTCCCAACACACAGCTGCACCCCCCTGAACGGGAACCCCAGTCATATCCACCCATAGGGTCTCGTTTCTTGGTTTAATTGCCGTTGTCTGTAGTTGAAATTCCGTAAGAACGTAAAAGTTATCCACAGCAGCTTTACGCTTAGTACCACCCAAAATCTAAGGAAAAGAGGGCAAAAAGAGAGATCACCTATGGGAAGACCTGGGGTTCCCGATCAGGAGGGAGCAGCCTCAATTCGCCTGAAAACAGTTCGTCTGGTGGTCACCATATGTGATGAACCAGCAGGAGCTACTCTACCCCGATCCAGAACTTACAAGAGTGAATTAAAATTGAAACAACAACAGACACCGATTGACACAATGAAAAGGGAGCCTTTAATGCCGGGAAACACACGGCATAAATACTGGAAACTGATCAAAAACATTGGGAAAACGCCTTAATCCTGTCAATACATTCATTGTTTTTGAGGTGCCTCAACTCCTTGATTATAAAGGCGAGGCCTCTTAGACTGAGGACCTGGCTGTGGACGCGAGGGACAGAACCTCTGATAATGCCCATATAGGCCACACTGAAACCCTGGACTTGTGATCTATCCCTGCCTCTCCCCCTTGGCATGAAACG